AAAAAAAAAAAGAACAAGATACAAGAGGCATGGAAACAGTCCAAAGGACTAACAATCTAGGTGAAACTCCTCCTCTGAAACCAGAAAAGTTAGCTGATACCTGGCTATTGCTGCTGACAGTTCCGGAAGCCATCACCACAGAAGATCAAGGATAGAGTAGGTAAAATGTTGGTCAAAGCAAGTTCTGGTGGCCTAGGATAGAGTAGGTAAAATGTTGGTCAAAGCAAGTTCTGGTGGCCTAGTGACAAGAAACTGCACTGCAATTCCAGAGGTGAGCGGTTTGAATCCATCAGATGCTCTGCTGGAGAAGGAGGGACAATCTCCTCACACACACTTATAAAAAATAAAATTAAAAAAAAATGTTGATCAAAACTCACAATCATAATAACAATCAAGCTTGATAGTGTGGTAGAGGCTGGAGGAACTCCTGAAACTATAGCCCTTAGTCAGACTGAACTTCCCACCCCACCCCCAATAAAAAGCAAAGCTCACCTTTGATCCAAGTGATAGACAGGCCAACAAGGTGATCAATAACACCAGGGAAGAATGAATTCCTAGGACAATCAACCATATGAGATCAGAAAGGCACCATTTGTCCAAGGAGAAAGCTCAGAAGGCAGAAATAGACAGGCTACATGAATGACTGGAAATGAGAATCACAGGGAGGAATTGGGAAGCATGCCATTTCACCGCGGGGATTGCAGGCAACGTCATGAAACAAATGTGTGTGAATTGTTGGATGGAAAACTAAGTTGCTCTGTACATTTGCATCTAATACACAGGAAGTTTAAAAACCAGAAAGCGGCGGTAGAGAAAACAGTGCAACAATGAATGAATGGAAATCCAAAATCTCTGCATAGGGTCATTAAAATTAATAAAATAAAACTTTTTTAAAAAGACAAAACATCAGAAAGGAAAAGAAAAATAAAACAATCAAAAGATATGTAAGGGGGGAAAGAAACAATAAGAATGACAAGGAAATAATGCCCCAAGTGGAAGGTTGTTGCAGACCAAGGGTCCCAAAGAATAGAATAATCTTTTAATTATTAATAAAGAGACAAACAGCCAGGAATGTGATAAAGCAGAGAGCATAAAACAAGGGGCCAGCAGTTCTAGACTGAAGACCCCAAGCCAAGCTTCTGTGTCTTTATTGAAAATTATCAGGAAGTAAATCACCAAGAGAATTCAATGCAAATGAAGCCAATCTCTTTCTATTGAAAACCTTCTGCTTGACTCAGGAAGGAGGGGTTCATAAATGCAAGAATTTGGTTTACCCTTAACTATTAACCTTGATGCCTCAGGGTGAACTCTAGCTCAGGAAGTAACACTCCCTCTGTAGGGGGCCCCTTGCTGTCTCCTGTCTTGCAGGGAACAAACAGCTCATTTTCTAGGATATGCCACAAGAGAAATCCTGACTTATAAATCTGTAATTCCTTCAATTCCTGAACAAGGGTTTTCATATAATATTTGGTATAAAGTTTGGCTTCCCATACATCTACACACAGAGTCAATCTTGGAAAGCTAACAGGGCTAAGAGGTGAGGGAAGAAGAGGACCTAGTGCATTTAGTTTTCTTTTTCTTAAGGGCAGGTACCAATATTTCAATCATCAGGACCCAGGTGAAAAGATGCAGGGTGCTCGGCGGCTCTGCACCAGCCCACCATGACCAAGACTCATTTGTACAGTAAACCTAGACGACACAGAACTAAGATGCAGATGCTTGACATCACTTTCAGAATAGTTTCATTCTGCACAAGGACATTATTCTATAGTTTATATATTCTTATCATATTCTATGTATTACATCACATATATTCTATAGTTTAACCCCCTCACTATACCTATTGGATCACTGGAGCAGCAGGACAAGTAAGTAGCTACAGAAAAAGACTCACCGCCGAGTCAGTTCCAAGCCTCCACTGGGTTTTCAAAGCTAGAAACTGGGAGACAGCCCATCTTTCTACTGCAGGGTTGCCCGAAAAGTCAAATTTCCCAGGAGACATGCAGCCTTTGGGGTAAGTGCACAACTCCCTGCAGACTCTGCCACCAGGGCTCCCCCTCTCCTACAGAAGAGAGTTGCCAAAAGGCAAAGATGTAGCCACTTGTTGGGAATATCTGACTAAAGGAATTGCTCTTGATGAAACTTGAGGGTCCAAGACAAAAGCTGAGCTTCCTCAATAGGGAAAACTGGCTGACCAAAACCCTGTTCCACATGCCATCGTGATGTCTTAAAAGTGCAGGCTACGGGGAG